AGAAGCTACTTATAAGAAGATGTTTATTTATGGGGCAGTAGCGGGATTTGGCCAAATTAGATCTCTTGAGTTGTTGTTTTTTTTAAATGTTTGTCTTTTGTCTCCAGCTCAAGAACAGAAAGGGGGAAATGGTGAGCTCATACTTAGGCCAAATAGAAGCAAAAAAATATATGATCCCAGCTTGATTTGGGAAGTAGAGAAATAAAAGGGAGAAGAAAGCCTTTGAAAGGCTATATTGTTGCTCTCTCGTTTCCACCACAAAAGTTTGCTGTCAATCTTAACATTGTGTCCAAGGAGTCTTGCTTAGTGTTGCTTCTCTCTTGTAGCAAACAACAGGCTCATGTTGTTGCAACCTTGTGGCCCTTTTGTTAAAATCTTTTCCCATCATGTCATTGCTACAAGGGCTGGAGAATTGCACAGGCTAACTCCACTTTCTTATTATTATTATTATTATTATTATTATTATTATTATTATTATTATTATTATTATTATTATTATTATTATTATTAATTCAATTTATATCCCGCCCTTCTCCTTACCGGACTCTTCTTCCTTTAAAAAAAAATCACTTTGCATGTTTTCAAATAACAGATTTTTTTTCCCAAAGAGGCAATCAAATATTCAAGGGCTAACATTGTGGTGGCCAGAAGTATGGGCAATGTTATTGTGTGGGTAGAGTTGCTACGAGCTTCAAGATTAAGCCCACATTTTCTCCGAGGTCTCTATCTCAAATGTTCTTTCCCTTGCCTTTAGCAAGGAGGTGATATTTGCCTAAGCACAACAAAAGCTCTTTTAAAAAGGGAAAAGGATTTTCCTATAGAGCTTGGCTGCGTGCCGCAGAAGCTCAGTGGGGTTTATTTCTGAGCAGACACAAATAAATGGGCAAGTACAAAGTTACAAGACCCCTGTTACCAATGATATTAGGGCTCAGGATAGTCATTATCCTACTGGTTTATGTTCACATTCCTGCATTTCAGTCGTTGACCAGCCTTAGGTAACCTTTGACTGGTTGATTCATTCTTTCATTATGGCCCATTAAGTTGGTTTCCACTCCTAGCAAGCCACATTGATAGATTGTCTTTGTGACAATCTGTCCCTAACCTGGTGTGATGATGTTGAGGATATTATCCATTCAGTTGTCTGGGGAGATTCTCAAACTTCCAAATCATGGTTGTCCCAAAGGTGCTTTTTCAAAAGGCAACTGGGCCTTCCTAGCATTAGAGCTTTCTCCAGAGGGCTGTGTGTGTGTGTGTGTGTGTGTGTGTGTGTCTTTGATTCTGCCTCGATTACTTCCTGCAGTTTTTTGGCAAGTTTTTGTAAGTGGTTTGCCATTACTTTCGCCTTCCTAGGGCTAAGAAACAGTGACAGGCTCAAAGTCACCCAATTGACTTCACGCCGGCTCATAGTCTTCAGGTTTCCAAACAGCAACCCCAAACTGTTTTTTCCCCAAAGATTAGATAACAAAATACATTCATAGAAATAATAATTAGAAACACAATGGAGTGAACAATGAATAGAATGCAGACAGCAGAGGTGAAAATATGATTGGCATGGTGATTAGGGGATTGGAGGCTAAAGCATACAGTATAAGGAACGGCTGCTGGAATTGGGTATGTCTAGTTTAACGAAGAGAAGGACGAGGGGGGACATGATAGCAGTGTTCCAATATCTCAGGGGCTGCCCCAAAGAAGAGGGAGTCAAGCTATTCTCCAAAGCACCTGAAGGCAGGACAAGAAGCAACGGATGGAAACTAATCAAGGAGAGAAGAAGCAACCTAGAACTAAGGAGAAACTTCCTGACAGTTAAACAATTAACCAGTGGAACAACCTGCCTCCAGAAGTGGTGAATGCTCCAACACTGGAAGTTTTTAAGAAGAGACTGGACAGCCATTTGCCTGAAATGGTATAGGGTTTCCTGCCTGAGCAGGGGGTTGGACTAGATGACCTTCAAGGTCCCTTCCAACTTTACTACAACTACTACTACTACTACTACTACTACTACTACTACTACTACTATTATTATTATTATTATTATTATTATTATTATTATTATTATTATTATTATTAACTTGGACAAACGGGCATATTCGTGACTGTCTCCAGAAGCTGAAAGTCCCAGGTTAGCTTCCTGGTTCTCATCGCAAGTATGATGTCACTTTTATTATTGTATCTGTGAGAATGTGCTTACAAGGTGTTACCTGGTAACTTTGAAGTAAACTGCTCCCCGGGGCTTGTGATTGTTGACTTGACTTAACATAACAAGATTAATGGCCGCCATTAACCCCAGCTTGAGAGACAGCATTGAGGAAACACAATTCTAAGAATTATGTTTGCCAGGTTGAGTATATTAACTGCAGATGAGTGCTTCTAAATAAATGGAGCTGGCCTTTTGTACTGTCACTGGTGCAGTTGTTGTTGTTGTTGTTAATTGTGAAGTCATGTCTGACCCATCGCGACCCCATGGACAACGTTCCTCCAAGCCTTCCTGTCCTCTACCATCTTCTGGAGTCCATTGAAGCTCACGCCTACTGCTTCAGTGACTCCATCCAGCCACCTCATTCTGAAGTTGAAACTCAAATACTTTGGCCACCTAATGAGAAGGAAGGACTGGTGCAGTACACACTCCAAATAGCCATCTTAGTATGGGCAATGGGGCATCCTTGGATTATTTTTGGTCTCACAAGGAAGAGGGTGTGTATGGTAGGGAATTCTTTCTGCTGCATTTGCGTTAATCAACACAACCAGATTGAGATTGTATCAATCCTCAAGCAGGCTCATTCTGAAGGAATGCATCTCTCTCTCTCTCTCTCTCTCTCTCTCTCTCTCTCTCTCTCTCTCTCTCTCTCTCTCACACACACACACACACACACACACACACACACACACACATAATGGTGGTCTCCAAAAAGAGGAAATGGACTGCTTTTCTTTGGTCTGGCTTGCACAAATTGTGCATTTATTGTAACGGCCCATAGTTACTGCTGTGAGTTGTGAGTAGAAGACATTTAACGGAGGGGTGTGTGATGTGGGTGGGAGAAGGGGCCAGACACTCTTATTGCTCATAGAAACCTGAAGATCTTTGACTTGAGGAAACATCTGCTACAACCTGGTGTGGTTTGGAGGTGGAGTTGGTAACGTTAGAGGCCCAAAAGTGATAAAGGGGAGGGGGCAGGCCAGGAAGATAAGCTGGGGAGGGGAGATAAGTCTCCTTCTGCATCTGAAATGGGAATTCCCTTTTCTGACAAAGCGGCCTTTGTGATACAAAGCGTGTGGATACATGATACACTAAATAGCGAGGGGTCCTTGGTTCCCTCTGAGCTTGCTTGGTTTCTTGCAGACGTTGCGTTACCCTAACTAGGTAACATCATCAGTGCTGGTAAGGAGTGGGGTTTTGCTGTCGGTTTATATTCTGGTGTCTTGCCTGTCTGGATGGGTGGGTGGATGGGTGGGTGGGTGGTCTTAGGGATTCTTGGTTGGGCTGTTTACTAATGGCTCTTGGGCAGTTTCTTGATTGGGGTGTTGCCTACTTGATTGTTGGTCTGAAGTTGACCTTGGAGTTAATCTATGCTGATCTGAGTGCTGATTCCTGGTAGAGAGGGGCTGGAGTCTTTTTCCCTTTGGGGCCCAGGATTTCAGGAGATGCACAAACAAGATTAGTTTACAGCCGTGGTGGCGAACCTATGGCACGCGTGCCAGAGGCGGCACTCAGAGCCCTCTCTGTGGGCACGCACGCCATGCCCCGGAGATGGCAACTGTCGCTCTTCAACCAGCCAGGCACTAACTCGGCGAAGTCCCACGTGGCTGGATGCATCTTGGCATGGCTGGTTTCCCTCCCGCCTGTCCCATCCCTCCTGACTGCGCATGCTCTCCTTTTCCTTGGCACGACCCACTGCATCGCCTCCTCAGCTGTCGGCCGGCCATCCAGCTCAGAGGCAGCTTCTCTGAACTGCTGGCGGCCGGCTGTGGCTGCTGACAGACACCGTCGGCCCCCATGCGCTTGCTGGCCTCTGTGCATGGGGGCCGATGGTGTCAGTCAGCAGCCACCCCGGCCCCTGCCTCGCCTTGCCCTGCGACAATGGCTCCCCTGCCCTGCCTCGCCTCACCCCGCAGGACGAGCCTCCTGCCCACTGCCCCACCTGCCAGAGACCCCCCTGCCCGCCTCCGCACAGGCGTCCCTCCCCACGAGCAGCATTGAGGTGACCATGCCCACCTTGGTCTGCCATGACCACCACAGCCACGCCCACCCAGTGGGCCACGTCCACCTGGCACCAGGGCTGTGGAGTTGGTAGATAAATGTTCCGACTCCGACTCCTCAGTTTTTTGTACTTCCGACTCCGACTCCGACTCCGACTCCAGGTACCCAAAATTTCCTCCGATTCCTCGACTCCGACTCCGACTCTGACTCCAGTCGGTAGATAAATGTTCCGACTCCGACTCCAACTCCTCAGTTTTTTGTACTTCCGACTCCGACTCCAGGTACCCAAAATTTCCTCCGACTCCGACTCCACAGCCAGGGCTATGGAGTCGGTAGATAAATGTTCCAACTCCGACTTCTCAGTTTTTTGTACTTCCGACTCCGACTCTGACTCCAGGTACCCAAAATTTCTTCCGACTCCGACTCCACAGCACTGCCTGGCACCTGGTGATAAATTAGTGGCTTTTGGGTTGCAATTTGGGCACTCGGTCTCTAAAAGGTTCGCCATCACTGCTTTATAGCATTGAAACATAAGTTGGTGATACAAGGTCTCATCTCCAGAAAGATGTTGTGGCTGAAAGCCAAAGGCCAGCCTTTCTGAGGAGCAAAGGGAATGAGTTAGGGTTTTTCTTTACAATCAAGTTTCTACTGGTTGTAATGAAACATATGCTAGGTATGCTGTTTCCAGGGTTTAAGGAAGATTCTTGGTTTTCCTTGGGCATATGAGTTCTATCAGCCTTTTTCCCTGATGGCGAGTCCTTTGGTGCGGTTGTTTATCGTTATTCTTTTCCTCCTGCAGCTTTTCAGCGAGAAGATCAGTGGAGCAGAAGGGACAAAACTTGATGGAGACTTTCAAGAGATGGAGAAGGTAAGGCAGGTCTGTCAAACGGGCTGCTAATTGCAAGGTATTTATTTCTAATTATAACTTGAGAGGCCCTTTTTCTAAAATAGGCCATAGCTAGGAAAAGGTCTAGCTAGAGGACACCAGCTTGGCACAAATTTGCGTGTAATGTATGAAAGAAACAGTCCCCGTCATATATTGTTAAAGATGAGCGATGGTCCGAAATTGAATTCTTTTGAATCCAGCATCTTGACCCGTGTCCAGTGGCCGTCGTTTCAACCACCTTAGAAGTGTTTCAAGGTCAAAACACTTCCCAAATGATCAGAACTGCCCGTTTCTCATTTAGGAAGTAAAATTGGAAGTATTGAGTTAAAAAAAATGACTCAGATTGAAAAATGATTTGCACAGCCCGCCTAAAGATGTTTCATTTTCTTCTTGCAGAAAATCGATGTCACTGGCAAGGCGGTGGCAGAACTCTTATCCAAAGCTACAGAATATCTTCAACCTAACCCAGGTAGGAACAAGATATTTTCTCTGAGTTCCAGATGTTCCGAACGACCGAGCATCTTTGCGAACCAATCCATCAGATCTGTGCCCCACAGCTTCGTCGGTTTTCTACAGATGTGTTTTTATGTTGTAGCAATTTTATTGGCTGTATTTTTACTTACTGTTTAGGGGTAGTCCTCAATTTACAATCATTCATTTAATGGCCGTCACAGTTACGACGACACTGGGAAAAGTGGCCAGCCAGCTTCTGATGAGCAAAATCAATGGGCGAAGTCAGATTCACTTAACAACCTTGTGATTCACTCAACGGCTGCAATGGTTTGCTTAACCCAGGGGTCTTCAGACTTGGCCCTTTTATGACTTGGGGACTTCAACTCCCAGAATTCCTCAGCCTGGCACGCTGGCTGAGGAATTCTGGGAGTTGAAGTCCACAAGTCATGAAGGGGCCATAGTTCCCCCATGCTGGCTGAGGAATTCTGGGAGTTGAAGTCCACAAGTCATGAAGGGGCCAAGTTTGAAGACCCCTGGCTTAGCCCCATGGCAATAGGGTCGTAAAATTGGGTGCGACTCACTTAATGACGGCCTTGCTTGGCGACAGAAATTCCGCTCCCAATTGTGGTCTTAAGGCGAGGACCACCTATATATACTTACGTTGTGTGTTGACTTACAACAGTTCACTTAGTCACCATTCAAAGTTACAAAGGGACTGAAAAAAAGTGACTTATGACCATTTTTTCACACTTACGACCATTGCAGCATGTGATCAGAATCTGGAAGCTTGGCAACTGACTCGTATTTATGACGGTTGCAGTATCCCGGGGTCATTTGATCCTCTTTTGTATCCTTCTGACAAGCAAAGTCACTTAACAACCATGTTATTAACCTGACAACTGGGGGCCATTCGCTTAACAACTGTGGCAAGCAGAGTCGTTAAACGGGGCAAAACTCACTTAACCACTGTCTTGCTTAACAACAACAAAATCAGGGCTCAGTTGTGGTCATAAGTTGAGGACTGCCTGTCCTGTGGAGTCCATTAATGCCCCCATGGGTCTGGATGAAGTTGGTGACAACTTGCTGTACGGTGGCTGCATAGCAGAGTAACGTTCCAGCTCTGGAGACATGAAGTCAACGAGCAGAAATGTTCTCCAGACATATAGAAAACCCGGTATATCTTTTAAGCTTTTTAATATGAATCTCTCTCTTTTAAAGCCTACAGAGCTAAACTAGGAATGCTGAACACGGTCTCCAAGATCCGAGGGCAAGTCAAGGACACAGGATACCCACAGACCGAAGGATTACTTGGGGACTGTATGCTCCGATACGGGGGAGAACTGGGAGAGGACTCCACCTTCGGTGAGCTTCTGCAGCCACGCAGCATTGTTTATGTAGTTCTTGCAAGCGGCACTTCATAAATCTGGATTGTTAAGACAAGGGCGGGTCCCTGCCTGAGCAGAGGACCTAACAGAGATGCAAGATGCGAAGAGCGTGGAGGCAGGAGCGTGACGAAATACGGCCTCTCTCTTTGCCTGCTGCTTCTTAAAATGAAAATAAGCCTTTTAAGTTTCTGTTAGAAAGCTGCTGAATCTTTTTTTTTTAATAAATCCTCCCCGATATGATACACGACTGTTGTTTCTTCTTTACAAGGTGCTGCGCTGATCGATGTGGGAGAAAGCATGAAGCAGATGGCAGAAGTGAAAGATTCCCTAGATATCACCATCAAGCAGAATTTTATTGACCCTCTACAGCTACTGCAAGAAAAGGATTTAAAAGAGATTGGAGTGAGTTTATCTCTGCCTGGAATATTTGCCTAGGGACGTGAGATCGCATCCTTGGAATAATATTAGTGTTTCTCAGATCTCTCTCGCCTGCTCTTCTTTTTCACTCCGTAATGCCTGGATTTGCGTAATGTCTTAAACTTAGGTTAACAAAATACAACGGCCACGTTCATGTGATGTTTGGGATATTTCGTCTGGCTTAATGTGGTCATGCCAAGATAATTTTTTTTATGATTTATTCATTGGCATCCCATCTTTTTACTATTTTTACAAATAGCTCTAGGCGACGAACATATCCGACATACCTTTCTGCTCCTGTTTTTCCCACCACCACCACCCTGTGAGGTGGGTTGGGTTGAAAGACAGTGACAGACCCAAAGACACCCAGCTAGCTTTCATGGCTAAGGTGGGACTTGAACTTACCCCCCCCCCCCCACTTTCTAGTGTGGTGCTTTAACCACTAGACCAAACTGGCTCTCCAGTTTGAGTGGTTGAGATCCAGCAACACAATCGCAAACTTTTCAGCACCATTCAGCTTAATCCAGTGGTTACCTGGACCCAGTTATGAGACTCCTATTTTTCTGGAGCACCTAGAACAGTGTTTCTCAACCTTGACAATTTTAAGGCATGTGGACTTCAACTCCCAGAATTCCACAGCCAGCAATGCTGGCTGTGGAATTCTGGGAGTTGAAGTCCACATGCCTTAAAATTGTCAAGGTTGAGAAACACTGACCTAGAATTTAGCCCCTATCTTCCTCTTCCTCAAATTCCTTGCAAAAAGATGCACTTTGTTTTTTCCTCACATCAGAGGAATTTACTATATGTTTGGCATGGGGTGTGAACCTGGAAACTTTGATGAATTAAACCATGATTCATTGGGAACTGCTAGATGTAGCAGACTATCCTGGCTCTGAAGATGCCAGCCACAATTGCTGGTGAAATGTCACAATGTTGTTTAATCCATGATCACTAAACTCTGACACCCAGCACTGCCCAACAGATACTGGGTGTGAAAACCTACACCAGTAAACCATGATTCAGTTAAACATGGATAAACACACTGCATAAACAATGTTAGTGGAGTCTTGAATATGAATGGGCACACTACGGTCAGGAGAGAGAACATGACAGACATTGAATGAGATCCAGAATATGAAAGTAAACCGTATTTTGACAAATATGTGTTGCTTCTGATTTAGATGGCCTGAAGATTTTTCCTACAGTGAACGAACTATCTAGAATCTTAAGAATTGATTGCAAAGCAACGGCTGAGGCATTCACAGATGCTGCTATTTTATTATTATTATTTTAGCCATCCCACATGGCTAAAAAGATATTTCTGCCCCTGTACGCAAAGGCTTCTCCTCCTCCTTTGCTCTAACCATTTGGTTCTCTTCTTTTTTATATATATATAAAAAAAACAGCGCCATCTAAAAAAATTAGAAGGCCGGCGTCTAGATTACGATTACAAAAGGAAACGTCTCGGGAAGATTCCAGACGAGGAAGTGAAGCAAGCCGTTGAGAAGTTCGAAGAGTCCAAAGAGTTGGCAGAACGGAGCATGTTCAACTTTTTGGAAAATGACGTAAGCCCCTCGCCTTGCTGTTTTGAGGGCGAGACATACAGTATCTGCGTGGGTGTTTGTGGCGCATGTGATGTGGTGCAACTAGTCATTGTGAAGATGATCAGGTTGCCCGTACTCTGAGCCCCTGCCTACTCTTTTCCAAACAAGAAAGCAGATGAAACCTACGAATGGCTGTGCAATTCACCCGTTCCTGCCATTTTTAAGCAGAGTAGCAGGCAGTCTACACCTCTCCAACCTGTTATCTGTCTCCCCTGTAGTTTGGTGATGCAATGTCTTGCTATTTTAAAATGCAGGAAACGGGAAACACATCTAGTATTATCCCTAAAATAGTTTTAAGTCCTGTCTCCCTCCAAATCCCGAGGCATTTCTTACCTCCATCCCTTTATCATCTCTTCTGCATCAGCTGTATGCAAAATGTGGCTTTTGAAGAGGTCAAACTGGGCCCAGTTCTACTTACTTCAAACTGCTTTATGAAGTGCTGCCCTCTCGTGGCTTGTAAAAATTAGAAACTCGATCGTACTGTACAGGTAAGTCCTTGATTTATGACCGTAATTGAGCTCAGAATTAACAGTGAATCATGTCATTAAGTGAATCCGCATCCGATTTTACAGTCTTTTTTTTGCAATTGTTAAGTGAACATGGTCGTTGTTAAGGGAATCCATTCTTTCTCTTGCACCAATAAGCCACAATGAATAAGAACCTCCTGCTTGCTCCACCTTGTTTGGAAAATCATTCACAACATATCTCTCTCTCTCTCTCCCTCTCCCTCTCCCTCTCCCTCTCCCTCTCTCTCCCTCTCCCCCTCCCTCCCTCCCTCCCCTCTCTTTGATTCCCTTTTTATAGATCGAGCAAGTGTGTCAGCTGTTAGTCTTAGTAGAAGCCGCGCTGGATTATCACAATCAGTCTGCAGAAATTTTGGAGGATCTGCAGAGCAAGCTGCAAAATCGGTAAGCCTAATCATAGTTTGGTTACTTTGCAAACTCTCTGAAGAAGTGCTATCAAAGGGCTGGCCTTCCAGATGCTGAGCAAGTTTTGTTAACCACAACTGGCAGATGTACCACAAGTTGACTCTAGGGCCCTGTCATGGTGCAAACGTCTTGGCACCTCAGAAGTTAGGACAGGGGTAGGCAACCTTGGCTCTTTTATGACTCGTGGACTTCAACTCCCAGAAATTCCTGAGCCAGTCATGCTGAGGGGAAAGGGAGAGGTTGCCATGCTGAGCCATGCTGGCTCAGGAATTCTGGGAGTTGAAGTCCACGAGTCATGAGGGGGCCATAGTTCCCCCATGCTGGCTCAGGAATTCTGGGAGTTGAAGTCCACGAGTCATGAGGGGGGCCATAGTTCCCCCATGCTGGCTCAGGAATTCTGGGAGTTGAAGTCCACGAGTCATGAGGGGGCCATAGTTCCCCCATGCTGGCTCAGGAATTCTGGGAGTTGAAGTCCACGAGTCATAAAAGAGTCAAGGTTGCCTACCCCTGAGTTAGGAAGAAAGACTTGTGCCTCCCTTAATCTTTAAGATATTGCTCATTCATATTTTAGAAAACTGGCCATACTCATTTAGTGAGGGCTACTAAGCCACAACACCGTCTCAAAACATGTGTATCTGTCATAATGTAAATAACATATTAGAACAATTAATCATATTAGAACTAATCAGTGGAACAACCTGCCTCCAGAAGCTGTGAATGCTCCAACACTGGAAGTTTGTAAGAAGAAACTGGACAGTCATTCTATCTATCTCTATCTCATCTAATATCTATATATCTATGTCTGTCTGTCTGTCTGTCTGTCTGTCTGTCTGTCTGTCTGTCTGTCTGTCTGTCTGTCTGTCTGTCTGTCTGTCTGTCTGAATGAATGAATGAATGAATGAATGAATGAATGAATGAATGAATGAATGAATGAATGAACTCATGGGTTTGCAAGGACTTTTGGGGTGGCAATGATGGAAGCAGAATTCCCGAGCAGAGTGTAAAACACTTAGAGCAGGCATTTCTGACTGTTTGAAAAGCTTGATCTTTCGTCTCCATCCTGGTTTCAGGATAAATGTGGCTTCAAGTCGCCCTAAACGTGAATTTAAGCCCAAACCAATCACACGGACGCATCTGGAAATAAGCAATGGTCAACCACACAATGGAATTTCCTTTAGTCCATCAATTAAATCATCAGGTATGTAATCATGGGATCTATGGAGATTCTCAGTCATCCAGGTCATTCGTGTAGGCTGGGATAGAACAGAAGCCATCTTGCTTGTTTTTCGGTTGCCACAAGATTGGGGAAAGGAATGGAGAGTTTTATACTAGCCTAAACCAAGGGTCCCCAACCTGCAGTCCGTGGACCAGTACCAGGCCACAGCATGCCAGCAACTGGGCCATACAAACAAATAAAACCCCATCTGCGGGATGCAGGCAGCACACAAAAACACGCACCCTCCGGTCTGCGGAAAAACCTCTCTCCATGGAACCGGTCCCTGGTGTCCAAAAGCTTGAGGATCTGTGGCTTAAACAATTCTGTCCCGTGGGAACCAAGGTCATTTCTGTTCCCTTGGCTGGGGCGGGTAGTGCCTAATGTTAGAAAGCCCTCCAAACTATTCTGTTGGGAAACGTAATTGATTGCATAGTTCTATGGGGTGGGAAGTTGAACTTTGTAATACTGTTGCTTTCTGGAGGGAACTTTAGTCTTGGTTTCACTTTTGATGGTGCCCGATACTTTGCGACCAATAAACGTGTTCTTCGAGGAAAGCTCAAGCCTCGGAGTTCTGCTTTCATTGGTCTCCTCTGTTGGAACCACGAGATCGGTATTAGAACGTTTATCATCTCGGTCTTTGTTGCAAATGAAATGAGACCAAATAAAGCACCCTGAACATCTCGGATTGCTTATCCTGACCAGGTTCTTCGTGTCACATGGACCAGCCGTGCTGCCAAGCCTTGTACGACTTTGAGGCTGAAAACGAAGGGGAGCTGGGCTTTAAGGAAGGAGACATCATCACGTTGACCAATCAGATTGACGAGAACTGGTACGAAGGCATGTTGAAAGGTGAATCTGGCTTCTTCCCCATCAGCTACGTTGACGTCATTGTCGCCTTGCCGCAGTGAATGTGTCCTTTTCACGCTAGTGATGCAACCAAAAACAGGGTCTTTGCCCAGAGCGGTGTTTTCATTTGTGCGGCGTACTACAAAAGCCTGTGCTTCCGTTGACCAACTTAACTGACTCTTTTTGTACGCGTCTTTTAAGAAATATATTTATTTTGTATCCCTACAATGTGTATATAAATTATTAAGCCCTTTTTTTCGGTTACCAGCAAAGAACAGCAGCCAAGCCCGATCCTGTGCTTTTGTGCCTTGAAAATCTCCCTGAGGCTTTTTTCTGAAAATGAAGCTATTATGCCGATTATGGCAACAAGAAGCCATGCATCAAGTGATGAATTTTATTTGTGGGTACCATTTTTTTAGCTACCCTAAGTTTGTTCATCATTGAGCCACTACTGTTACCCTGAACTGAACTGTGAAAAGCTAATATTTACCACGTGCTATATCTTGACTAGAGAAGGAGGATTACTTCCTTGATATTCCTGTATTAAGTCCACGTTACCCTCAAACACTTAACTCTTCACTGACCAGAAATAATAAAACATTTTTGTGAAAAATTTATTTCCTTTGAGCCTTACCAGGTATATCATTCTTGGGCTACCAGCTTCACAACATGTGCCATACCCAGAGCTAAACTTTGGCACTTTGAGTTTTTTGGTTGTGAACGAGCTTTGTGAAAAATGATTGAGGATAAGAGAAAATGTGTGTTCTGCCACTTCTCTATGGGATCCTGTTTTAGTAGTTATCAGCTTAGTTATTACGGCAAGTCTGGCTTCCCTCCTATGGTACAAAAGATTCTTTAATCCTCTTTTTTCCGTACCATTTCTGATGTTTTCCACCTGTCCATTTAAAGCTCAAAAATCCAACTTCTTGCTCAAGCTAACCAGCACTGCTGCAGACGAGTATCAAATCTTGCTAAAACCAACTATAACATATAGCTAAGGATAAAACTAAACTTGTTCCTCTCCCAAAATGCACAGTAAGACATTCATTTTCGAAGCATCACAACTTGCTGCTATTGCATTGGATGAAACAAGATTCTTGAAACAAAACAGTAACTTGGTTAACACCATAGTGTTGTTTTCAACAATCCAAATGACTTTTATTCCAGTATGTCTTACAGCAGTAAACTGGTTTTTTCTAAAGCCCAAAAGCAAAGTGATCAGCCTTCCTAATTATAGAAAAGGAGCTACTGTATTTCAGATTTCAGGGGAATTTCATTTAACTATTGATAAGTTTTTTTCCCTTTTCTCCCAAACTATGGAAGCTACTAGCTGTTAATCAAGTTATTACAGCTAAATTGATGTTAGTCCCAATTTTATTTAGTAGTGTCCCATAAACGGGGATGTGAGCTACGCGAGTTTAAAATATAATAGAGTAAAAATTTGTCAAGACAGTGGACCCCGTTTAGAGAACGTTTCACCCTCTTGAAATAACATACGGACAAAATAAGATTTAAGCCTGCCAAATACTGTACAGAGTTTGTGTTAAACCCCACCGTAAAGAGCCATCAGCAGAAAGGAAATATCTTTAACAGAAAGCCAAGTGTTTACCGGATTTGTGCTTTTAATAAGGCCTACACACAACTAGAAGTACCTAAACAGCAAGTACAACAAACTGTTTAGATCTGCTAAAATATCAGAAACCTGCCACCATTAATAATTTAACCATTTCTAAAAGTGTCTATTGAAGAAAATCCAACTGAAAGGAATCCTTCCAGAAAAAATATATATATATTGTGTTCAAGAACCCTATCCTACATTGAAGCCGATAGGAACAGAAGCATTCTTTGGCCATTCATTAATACAAGAGTCCTAAAATAGTTCTGAATTTTAGGTGACACTTCCTTGTCCACTGTCGTTGGAAAAGATTGGAAAGAAATGCTGTATTTGATGGGCAATTTAGCCGCCTCCCGGGATGTTTCTTCGGGTCCATTTTGAAAGAATGAGAG